TCGACAATTTATGCAACCAATCCTGTACTGATGAATTTTGGGTCTCTCTCCAATTTTTTTTGCTAGTATATAAATGGCTGCAGTGAATATCCTTGTGTGCATACATCATTTCACACATGTGTAAGTGTTTTTGTCATGGGATTACTTGGTCAAAGAAACTGCATTTGCAATTTTTATGAACATTATCAAATGCATCTCTATTGAGGGAGGACTGATGACCACATGTTAGCTTGTTCACTTCCCTACAGCCTCATCACACTGTGCATTATCAGTCTTCTAAATTTTTGCCCATGTAGTGGGCAAAAAAAAATTTTTTTTTTTAGCTGAGCCATCCTGCCACCTGCTGGCAGCTCAGCGGCTGCTCAGCTCGGGCCCGGGACTTCAACCGCTGTCGCTCAGAGCTCGCACTCTTGAGCGAGCTCTTAACCAACTGAGCCACTCGGCCGGCCCAAAATCTGTCTTATTTTTAGCTTCATTTCTTTTATTACAAGTGAGGTCGAATGTCTTTTCATATGTTAAAGAACCTTTTGTGTTTCATTTCTTGTGGAGATTCTGACATCTGTTGTTCAATTTTTTTCTATTGAATTGTTTACATTTTTATTATTAGTTCCTAGAAACTCTTTACATATTATGGAGAATAGGAAGTCTGTAATATGAAGTATGAACACTTTTTCCCAGTTCCTTTTTTGTTCATTTTTATTTTTCAGTGGTGGTATTTTGCCTTATTTTTTATGATGTGGAATTATTCATTTGGAGTGGGTACTTTTGGATTTCCAGTCATAATAACAAAGGACATTCCCAAAATGATTCTATTAAAACAGAAATATAATATCACTCCTCTTTTCAAAATTCTCCAGTGGTTTCCCCTCTTACTTAGATTCAAATCCACAACTATGAGGCCTTCTACATGATCTCACCCCTGAATATCTGTCTCAAATTATCTCCCACTCTCTCCCCTTCACCTACTTCATCTAGGAATACTCACCTACTTGCTGTTTCTTAAACATGCCATGCACACTCCCACCTCAGGGCCTTTGCACTGGCTCTTCCCTCTGCCTAGAATGCTTTTCCCAGATATCCACAGGACTCCCTCTGTCACCTCCTTTAGGAGCTCAAATGTCACCTTCTCAGAGAGGCCCTCCCTGATCACCACACAATAACACCCTATCACTCTATCCCCTTCACCTGCTTTATTTCTCATCACTGACATATACTACAGTTTGTTTCTTGCCCATCTCCACCCACTAGAAAGTCAACTTCATGGGGAGGAGATTGTTGTCCTTTTGCTCAGATGCATCACCAGCACCTAACAACAGTATGTGGCACATAGTAAACATCCAAATATCTGATAAATGAATGAATGAGTGGGTGAATTCATGAGACTCTCCTTGGCCTAATTAGAAGGATTTAAATATCTTTTTCTGCTCCCCAAACCATACCATGTTCCATCTCTCTCCCAGGTCTTTGAACAGGCTGTTCCTGCCCCCCAGAAACAAAACCATCTTCTCTCCCACCCCTAACCCTTCACCTGATTACTCTTACTTCACTAAGACTCTCAGGTCTCAGCCTAAATACCGCTTCCTCCCTCAAGAAGTCTTCTCTGACTCCCCGGGCTGGTTGAGTGAGGAGCCTGGGCCCTCACAGCTGCTTATTCATGCATAGTTCTCCTTGACCAGGCTGTACTACGGATAACATTGTAATTCCACGGCGCCTTCAGACCCGGTAATCAGCCCTGACAAAGACTGCTGAATTATTCTTCTCCCCAGTTTAGCAACAAGCTTCTCCTGAAAATTCTCACTGCCTGCCAAGACCTCCTTAGACCAGGAGGGGGGGGGGCATGCGATATCCTTAGGGATCAGGGAGCAAAGCCAGTTCCTGAAGCCTTGGGGAGAACAACTGGAGTGATTAGAAGCCCTCGGGAACCAAGGAATGACCAGAGGAGCCTAAGCTGGGACTGGAAGTGACCAACCTGGGCACCTCCTGACTGCACTGTCCAAGCTAAGAAGTTCCTGACACCTCCTACCTGAGCAAGAAACAGCCTCCTACCTGAGCAAGAAAAAGTCTCTGAGCCTCAGTTTCCTCATCTGTAAAATAGATGTGTCGCTGGTGAGCAAGTCCCTTCTGAGTGCCAGAACTTAGCAGTAGCTGTTTCAGAAATGACAGCCATTCATTGTGATGTTGATATGGGAATTATTCCTTGCCTCTCAGGTCCAGCCCAGACTTTACAGGGAAGCCTCGGCTGGAAGCCCAGGAGGAGGAGGGGGAGAAAACAGAGGCCACACCTCTCAGTAAAGCCGCTCCTCCTGTCCTGGCATCTTGGCTGCAAACCCGGTGTTCCAGGGAAAGGAAAGCGGGCGGAATCCGAGCAGCAGCAGCAGCAGATGCTTGGGGCATGCGGCCATCGTCCCCGCCCTCCGCCAGCAGTATTCCTGCAGGAGGCCGAGCGCTACTTCGTGTCTGGCCGGAGGCTCGCTGGCGCTCTCTCGTGGCTAGACTTGACAATTAATGGCTGGAGCAAAGCCTACAGCTGCTCTCCCCACCTCCTGTCCTCCTCCGGTTCCCTGTTAAACCGGTGTTCAGAAGCTCAGCTCCATCACGTAACTGCTGTGACCCTGGGAAAGTCATTTAGCCTCCCTGTACTTCAGTTTCCTAGCTGCAAAATTTGGGACAGGACACGTCGCCCACTGCCTCAGTTCTTTCATCTGCAAAATGGGTCCTTGGGTTATGAAATTGTTAAGAGGATTAAAGGACAGAGTCCAGGTAGACGTGGCTACAGTAAATATCCACTTCACAAGGGCAAGGGTTTCTGTACTGCTTATTGCTGTGCTCCCAGCTCCTACAACAAAGCCAGATACTCAGTAGAGGCCCAATACACAGTAAAAGAACAAACGCTTATCATTCTTCTTTTGGGGGACCTGGGATTGGGGTGGGGTAGAGGGAACAGGTGTGTGAGATGTGAGTTCCTGTTATCACTCATTCACCCAACACCCACTTTTGCCTCCATCTAGTTGTTCATCGGATGGCAAGGCTATATCCCAAAAGACACCCTCCACCACCACCCCACCCTCTACCCCCCATGTTCTTTTGAAGTGTTTCCCACCTCTTCTGCTACTCATAGGCACCCAAAGGCAGTTTTTCCCTTCCCAGGACCACCTCCCAAGTCCAACAGAAACTCAAGGGAACGGCAGGCCTCAGCATGCTTCACAAAGGCTCACACATGCCTGCCTGGCAAGGATTCCCACTCAAAAGATAGACACCGGCACTGCTGGAGGGAGCCTAGCCTGGAGAGAAAGGTGGGAGGGGGGGACTGAGGAGAGACCCCTGCTGCCCCTTGCCTTTGGACAAACTCCTGTCCTAGACACCTGGGAGCCCACAGAACGGGCTGTGGGGGGTACATGGAGACCCTATGTGGGGATGTGTGAAGGGGAGGACTCACTCCCACCTAAGGAGAGTTTAACAGAACTGGTGAAGATTCCCTGAGAGCCTGGGACAGCAGTGGAACACACCACCCTAAATGAACGCCAATGATCTAGAACCTTCCAAATTAGGCCTCACCTGCTTGCCAATCCAGACCTTAATTTGATTCTGTTGATTCTTCGCTTCATAAGAGATTGTTTACCATAGATTTAAGAGCATTGCCTGACCTCACAGCTCACCTGCCTGACACGGGGCAAGTGGCTTACCCTCCATGGGCCTCAGTTTCCTCATCTGTACAGTGGGTGCTAATTTCTTACTTCAGCATGGCTGTGAGACTTCTGTGAGTACATACACCTGTCACATAGTAGGTACTTAATAAATGCCTGAGGAATAAATGACTAGATTCCACATGCCCTCTTTGTTTCTAACACACTAGGTTTTCCGGCGCTTTCCAAAGATAGTCAGGAAAGTTGGCACAAGTTGAACCTAATTCACGGGATGCTATGAGGTTTAAGGAGAAAGTGCACCTTAGACTCTTAGTAAGTTCTCAGTCGATGGACACTGCACAGGAGCAGGCATTTTGTTTTGTGGTCACTCCTGCATCCCCAGCATGCTAAATAGGCCTGGTCTCCTAGTAAATACCTAATCAATCTTTGTTGGCTAAATGCATATTATCATTGCTTTGGGAGAACTGGGGCCCTCCAAGTAGGCAAGACTCCCCAAGCTAGCAGTATTGACGTCACCAAAAAAAAGGGAAATCAGGCAAACTTGTCTGCTTCTAAGAGGCAGACACCACAAAGCAGTCTCAACATCTTTAATAGGCACATTAAACAGCCAGTGAGAATTATTCCAGGACAGAGAAAGCTTTCTTCCAGGAATGCTTCAAACATGATGTGTTTTCATCCCTGGTTTAATATGTGTAATTTGCCTTCTGGAAAATGAGCCCAGAGAGCTTGGCATGATTTAGGGACAAGTGACAGTGGTCACAGTTTACCAAACGTAATTGTCTCCTGTAAGGAAGGAGAAAACTGAGCAGTGCATGCTGGGTACAGAAAGAACAAGAGCAAGAGGGTCTGACCCATGGATTTCTCAGAAGATTCCATTATGGTAATCCTAGGGCCAGCCGGCTAAATGCCGTATGGCTGCTCAGGCCGGTGATTAGGAAATGAACACATAAGGCCTGCACCTCTCCTATTTGAGCAGCTCCACCAGCAACCTCACCAATTTCGCAAGGACAGAGGTGGGGAAAATCCTGTTCCCTTCAGCCCCTTCCAGTCAATCCCCGCCAATCCCAAAGTCCAGTGCCCTGATCCACATGGCCTAGGATCCTTGCCGGGTGAGGGGAGGGCTTCAGGTTAGGGCTCCATGGTTCATGGAAAGGACAACCCCTCTACCACTCTGGCCCCCAAAAGGGGAGCTAAAACCCCTCTCAATGCAACTGTCCCCAGTCTCCCAATGGAGGCTTGGTTGAGAAGGGAGGAGCAGCTCCGTCTGCCCCCATTGGGTTAATGGAGATTCCTTCCCCACATCGTTTAGATATTAACTCAGCCAGAACAAGCCAAGGCAAACAGACCAGATCTGGGGCAGACAAGAGGACAGGCGTCTGTGGCCAGTGACCTTGCATCATCCTCCCGCCGCCACGGACATGCCCTGGCCCCTGGGCTTGATTCTGCTGCTTTTGGGGATCCACCTCACCCATGCTGAGCCACTGTGAGTCTGGGAAACTGAGGGGACTTGGCCGGCTGCCTGCATATCTGTGTTCTTGATGACCCCCTGCACAGGACCCCATGTGTCTCTGCTGTTGCCTCTCCTGCTAGAGTCCCCATGTGCCTCTGTATTTGTCTACCGGCAGGTACATCCTGGTGACCCCCCGAGTCCTGCGCATTGGCAGCCCTGAGACCATCCATGTACAGGCTCACTCAGACTCCGAGCAGGCCCTCATCGGGATCCTCGAAGTGAACCTCACTGTGTGGGACTTTCCCATGAAGAAGACAGTGTTGGCTAGGAGCCAGCTCATTCTCTCAAAAGAAAACTACTTTATGAACCAGGCATCTGTGGTGGTAGGTGACAGGCCAGGATGGGTGGCTCTGGGAGGCTCTGGGCCAGCAGCAAGGCTGGAGAGGGACAGACGGTAGAGGGACTTCCCACAAGAGACACGGGGACAGACACGGGACTTGGCTATATCTACTGCTCTTCTTACGTCTTGTCCATTTAGAAATCAAAAGTCCCCTAAGTCTGGGCTCCAAGAAGGGCTGTGATTAGCCCAGAGTCCTCTGTGTGAATTAATAAACGGCGTCTTCTGCTGGTGGCTTGGGAAACTGAGAATGGTCTGGATTGCATCCCAACCTCGGCTGGATGTCCTTGTGCAGGAGCAAGGTGCGCAGCTGCACACGGCAACCTCACTACCATAGGCAGAGCCAGGGAGCCCCCACTCAATTGCTTCTCTCAAGATCTGGCCCAGGGCTTTGCCCCCAGGGATGGAGACCCCAGAGGGGCCTGAGGAATGTGGGCATTTCTCCCCAGATTCCCGAAAGCCTGGTATCCCCCCCACAACCGGGGCGGCAGTACGTCATCATTCGGGCAACCTGGACACCGACCTCGACGTCCTCATTCATGGAGAAGATGGTGCTGGTGGCTCCCCACGCAGGCTATATCTTCATCCAGACAGACAAGACCATCTATACCCCTGAGCACATGGGTACAGCCTCTGGGCACTTGGCCTGGGGCAGGCATTGACTCACCCCCAGCCCCTCCCAAATGCCCGACATGTTTCATCTTCCAAGGTCTCCCCACCGCCCAAGACCCTAATGACTGCACCTCCCCTCTAAACTCTATCCACACTGAGTCTTCCCTCCTCCTCTAGTTCAATACCGGGTGTTCACTGTGAACCACAAGATGGATCCTGTGACCAGGACGTTCACTCTGGACATCAAGGTGGCCTCTCCTGATGGGAGGGTGGATCCTGGACATTGGGGTTATAGCATGTGCTGAAGCCTGTGGGTATGAGCCACCCAACCCCTGTCCCCACAGAACCCGGAAGGGATCACTGTGATCAGCCAGGATCTGTTGGCCAAGGAAGGTGTCTTCGCCAACTCCTTCCGCCTCCCAGAGCTCATCAGGTGCCCTGCTGGGAACCCTGGGGATGGAAGGAGGGAGGGTGTCTTCAGTCTTCATCTCTCCTAACTTTCTGTGCCTCAGTCTTGGGACTTGGAGCATCGAAGCCAGTTACCCTAGTGCAGCCAAGCAGAAGTTCAAGGCAGCCTTTGACGTGAAGGAGTATGGTGAGCAGGGTGTGGCAGGGAGGGTGAGGAGGAACATGCCAGAAACTGAGCTGAAAATGAAAAGGAGAGCTCATGGCACACCTTCCGTGTGGGTACTGGTGGACAGGACTGTGTGTTCCAGCCCTTGGGGTTTGCCAGAGTCACCAGGGAAGAGGCAGGACAGCGAGGGGATGAGGGAGAACAGTGAAATGCTGAGGGTATCCATTGCCTTTCCTCCACCCAGTGCTCCCATCATTTGAGGTCCGGCTGATCCCAAACAAGACTTTCTTCTACCTCAGTGATGAAGCTCTGGGTGTGGAAATCCAGGCTTGGTGAGTCGCTATACCCCCAGCCTGGCCAGAGGACCAAAGACACCAAGAAACTCAAGGGTAGAGAGAAGGGAGGCACTTCTGTAGCTCTTAGGGTATAGTAGAGGCACTCTCTGCCATCCATCAGATATTCTTGGTCACTTACATTGTTCGGTGAGGTTATACAGACTACGTCACCACCTGTGAGGTTGTGCAGACCATCCTTTCAGGTTTCTGGGGTTGTACAGGCCACCTTGTTTACCTAATAGAATTGTGCCACATCTCATGGTTTGAACCATTTCTGAAGGTCCGCAAGGTTGCACAGGCACCTTTGGCATCTTGTGAGGTTATCCAGACCATCTTTGAAGTTCTATGGAATTGCAAATGCTACATTTGCTGCCTTATGGGATTTACAGACCATCTCCACAGCTCTATGAGTTTGTACAGGCCATGTTGTCTACCTAAGGTTGTAAGGGCCGTGTCTGTCGCCTCTTAACATTGTACAGATCATTTCTGCAGCTATATGATGCTGTACAGGCCACCTGACAAGGCTGCAAAGGCCACCTCTGCCATCCCATCGGTTGTCCAGACCTTTATGTGGCTCCATAAGGTTGTAATACAAGCTATTATTATCTCATGAGGTTGCATAGGCCACACCTACAACCCAACACAGCTTTACACGACATATTTATCACCTCCCAGGATTTTGTAGGTCAGCAGTGAAGTCATCTAATGTTTCCAGGGGCCACCTTTGCCCCTTCCAAAGTTTCCCAGCCATTGTTGCAGTCCCGTGAGATCATACAGGCCACCTCTACAGCTACATGAGGTTGTGTGGTGCTTCAGAGCCAGTGTAATAACCCTTTATCCTCCAGGTATGTATTCAACAAGCCAGTGGATGGACATGCCCTGGCCATCTTCGGGGTGAAGCTGGATTCCCGCCGGATACCCATTCAAAGCTCCCTGCAGAGAGTGGAGGTGACCAAGTCTGGACTACTCCCCAGCCTCCCCTCCCCCAACCCTCTTCCACTTCCCCAGGAAACCATATCCTTTCCTTTCTCTTTCCCCAAGAGCAGATCTCTACAGGCAAGGGTCACGTTTCCCTTCAGAAGGACACACTGATGGCTGCATTCCAAGGCCCAGAAGAAGACTTCATTGGGGCCTCAGTCTTTGTCAATGTCACCGTATTCTCCTCAGGTGCCACCTTCACCCAAGCCCCTGGTTGAGGTCATGACACTGTGTTCTTTCTCAGCCCATATATTCTGCCCATGTAACCTTGGGCCACCTCCTGCCTCAGTTTCCTCATCAGAGAAATGGGAAAACATCCACAGGGCTGGCAGGAGCTGAAATTGTGTTACTGTCTTTCCCTATCTTCACCAAGATGGGCTTCCCATACCAGCAGCCCCATCACTCCCCCAAGAAATTGAACCTCTTCTGCAAACCTCATGGTCCCACTGTCTCTACAGGGGGTGAGATGGTCCAGGCCGAGACCTCGGGAGTGAAGATCGTCCGGAGTCCATACAATATCAAGTTCATCAGGACACCCCCGTATTTCAAGCCGGGGATGCCCTTCCATTTTAGGGTCAGGGTTTGGGTTCATTCCACCTACGGATTCAGGGATCCCACCCCAAAAATGACTCCCCAGGAAATAAAAACCCATATGGGACTCATCTGCTCTTGATAACTCATCTTTCTGAGAGTTGAGTTTATCATGCCCCTCAGACCAATCCCAAGGTTCCCTCAAGTCAACCCATGTCTTTCCAAAGCACATTGATGGCTCCAGAATATCTCTATGGGGACTTAGGAGTCACAGTCGGGCTAGAATGTGGTACTTAGGAGGTTTTATCTTGAGGCTACATTTGTACAGCAAGCATGCTGTTTTCTCACATTCATTTGGGTTGACTTTGAGATGTTTGATGGGCATTAGGAAAGCTAGAGCCATTTTTTAGTACCAATCCTATTCTGAGTTTTCCCCAAGCCTCCATGTCTCCACCTACCTTTTCCACCCCAATTCCACACTACCCCCATCCCTTGAGCACACCACATATGGTTGTGCACTGCAAAGCTCTAGGGGACTCTATTATGAATGGTATCCCCGGTGTTGTCCAGTATACAACTTGCACTGCTGTACAAGGCAGTCCTATCCTGATTGCATTCCCAGTTCCCACCTTTCACGCCAGGCTATTCCCAGGCCTGTCCTTCATCTCACCTCACATTTCACTCCAGGTCTTTGTCTCAAATCCTGATGGGTCCCCAGCCTCCAAAGTCTTCGTCAACTGCCAAGACAACAAAGTGTACACCTCGGACAGTGGGGTGGCCACTCTGACCATCAACACAGATGCAAATCTAGAGCAGCTCCCTATCCTGGTACCAACCTGACAGGGCAGGGATGATGGGGTTGTGTGAGCTGGAAGGGTTGGGAGTTACTTGCCCTTCACTCTCCCCAGGTGAAAACTGATGCAGCTCTCCAACCAGAGGAGCAGGCCTCAGCCAAGATGACGGCTTGGCCTTACTCAACTCAGAATGGGTCAGGGAACTTCCTGCACATTGAGATGAAGACATTAGGCACAGAAGTTGGCAGCAACATTCAACTGAGCCTCAACACAAAGCATCAGAACCCTGAAACCAAGGATAAGATCACTCATTTCACCATCCTGGTGAGAGACTAGGACCAGGACTTGAGTCAAGGAATTCTCTGGGACAATCTTGGCTAGCTGGGTTGGAGAAACTATGAACAATGGTGTGAAGGTGGGAACCATCTGGGATGAGCTCAGGCCAAGGGGCTGAAGCAAAGGGACTCTGGACTCCCTTTGTAGGCTGATCCTAACTTTCTCATCCTTGGCCTCCCTTGTCTCCAAGGTCCTGAGTAAGGGTCAGATCGTGCGTGCCAAACATCAGTTAAAAAGTCAAGGAGGTGTCTACACGTCTACCATTATTGATGTGACTTCAGAGATGCTGCCCTCTTTCCGCATCCTGGCCTTTTATTTACTGCCCAGGGGAACAGGCCAGGACCCTGAACTGGTGGCCGATTCCATATGGATCGATGTGAATGACAAATGCATGGGGACGGTGAGCCAAACTCCTTCAAGTTGTACATCACCATGATAAAGTTTGGGGAAAGGTCTGTTCAATTTCCAGGGCCCCCCAACTAGGGACAGGTGAGTGTAAGAGGAAGCAATGTGGCCTTAAAAGCTCAACCTGGGGGTAGAGAAAATGCAAGTAAATGTGTGGAGTTGGAATTGGCCTGGTGGAGTTCTCTAATGCTCCATTAGAAATGTAGGTAACATGAACCTGAAAGTGGACTTTGGGAAGCCCCTTGGTAGCCTATTAGCCCCTTTTTCTGATGTCTCTCTTTTTCCTAGCTCAGCTGGAGGTTGGCTTAAAGAATGAACTCTTCGGTTCTTTGGAGCCCCACAGCCAGGTGGAACTGAAGGTGACAGGTGATGCAGAGGCCACGGTGGGGCTGGTGGCTGTGGACAAGGCTGTCTATGTCTTGAACAGCAAACACAAGCTTACACAGAAGAAGGTAAGAGCATGTGAGTTTGGGGTCAAAAGGTTGCCTGGACATTCTAGCTGAAGCTTCACCTTCTTCAGCTGTAAAATAGGCAACATCAATAGTTGCAAGGATTCAAGGAGCCTAGTGCACAGCATAGAGATTGGCAGGTGGTAAGGGTTCAATAAATGGGAGCCAGCAATAACAGTGCACTATTGCACCTTTCCTGGATGGGGCCATATAGGCTCCAAATCCAGGTTCCTCTCTTGACCCCCAGGTCTGGGATGTGGTGGAGGAGCACGACATTGGCTGCACAGCAGGCAGTGGGAAAGACAGACTTGCTGTGTTCAAGGATGCTGGATTGGATATGAAGATGAGCACAGGGATGGACACCTTGGCAAGCTCAGGTACAAGCAGGAGATGGAAGGGGGGCAGGTGGCAGTCAAGGATAGAGGCAATGCTGTCTAATGGTTAAGAACAATGACGTCAAACAGATGGACTAAAACTTAGGACCCTGGCACTTACCATGGGCCAGTCACATTTCCTCCCTGGGTCTCAATTTCTCTGTCCATAAAATGGGGATAATAATACAAGTAACTCACTGTGTGTTAGTTAAGATACAGGTTTGGTCATGTATATCGGAGGTACAAACTAACAGTAGCTTAAATAAGATAAAAGTTTATTTCTGTCTCAGTAACAGTCCAAAAATCATTCTGGGACTCAGGCTTCTTACAATTTGTTGCTCTGCTATATTCCAAGATGGCACCTCATCAAGACCTCATTCCAGGCATCAGGATGAAGGCTAAAAGGGAAGGAGAGGACACTTCTTTCACATGTCATTGGCCATAACACAGTCACATGACCCCTTCTATGTGCATGGGAAGCTGGGAAATGTAGTCTTCATTCTGAGTGATATATAATGATGGCGATTTAGTTGCCACAGGTGAGGGGAGGTGATTGGGTATTGGGGAAAACTTTCTGCTATAAATAGTGATATTAATAACAGTTTCTTTCTACTGCAAGCTAGACCCTGTGCTAAGTACTTCTAGAGGCATGATGTCACTGATAGAACTATGATTATATTCATTTTCCCCCATAGTTGGGGAAAGTATGCCCAGAGAAGTTAAGTGACTTGCTGAAGACCTCATAGCTTTTGTGGTAAATTTTGAATATGAGGAACCTGTGGAATAAAAATGAAGTGATGCATATAAAGCACTAGGCATAAAGTAAGCACCTAGTAAATATCATCAAAGATATTTATAATGACCTTGACAATTGTCCTCATTCTTCCCTCTGACCCCTAGACTGGCACTGCCCCCAGAGCCCTTCTCCCAGCCGCCGCCGACGCTCCCTGAAGAGACTGGAGACCAAGAGGAATGCAGGTCAGAGCTAAAGCTGGATGTAGCTGCCCCTCTTGGCTCCCTAACCTACTGTATTCATCAGGGCTTGGGACAGAAAACTGAAGTTCTTCTAGGTATTTCAAGCAGGGTGGGAGGGATTTAATTATAGGAGTTTAGTGCTTTCAACATCATTTGGCAGGCTATAGGAGTGGGAGTTGGAAGGCTGCTTGGTGGAACTGAGTATCACCCCACTGCAGTTCTTGCAATGCATGAAACCTCAGAAAACTGCTGCCAATATCCCTCATGAAGCTAGAGGGTAGATAGTGGAACATAGAATATTTCCCATTAAAAAAACACACATAGAGTCTATTACCCATTTGACACTGTACATAGTTATTACAATATTATTGACTATATTCCTTATGCTGTTTTGTATACCTGAAACCAATTTTTAAAAAACCCCACACATAGACTGGGCTTCACACGTCAGCTTAGACTGCTGCAGGGAAAATGGTCTCTGCTTCTCTTCCACCTTCCAAATCTTACACAAGCGCATCTTGGGGGGCAGAATCTAATCGCATCCAGGACTCTAGCAGGAAAAGATCTGGGAAATGTAGTTTTTAGATGTCAGGCTTCTGTGATACTGGAAGGAGAAATGGGTACTGGGTACTGAGTTCCAATGGATAACATCTGAGTGTGGTGTTAGAAGCATGCTTTCTAAGAATATTAGATTTTTTAGTCTCTTTGAGCAACACTAATGACTTGATGGATCTAAATAAAGGGAAAATAAATGAAATCTAATAAAAATCGAGGTAAAACCCTAACTAATTACAATATCAAAAATCATGCTAACCTTCTCGGGGAAGTTTATAATATGAACTGTTGTTTTGTTTATGGTAATGATCAGTTACTATAGATGTTCCAACTGTGTTACATGGTGGACAATAAGATTTTTAAATTGCTATAATTTTATATTTAAGTGCATTCCTTCAGTTTGCTAATTTAGAAGCATTCAACTTGACATCATGCTTTGCAGCAAGGTCTATGTTTTCATTTCTTAAAAATACATAATGAAAATTGGGAGTCAAAATGGCATTTTTTATAAATAAACGTGACATCACCAATCCCTGTTAAAAAGAAGGAGAATGAGGAGGCGGGGGAGGGAAGGAGAAGCTATATTTTTTGGAGCCCAACAGCCAGGTGGAAGTGAAGGTGACAGGTGATGCAGAGGCCACAGTGAGGCTGGTGGCTGTGGACAAGGCTATCTATGTCTTGAACAGCAAACACAAGCTTACACAGAAGAAGGTAAGAGCATGTGGGTTTGGGGTCAAAAGGTTAACGTGTAAACCATTAACATGGATTCTAGCCCCAGCTCTGCCACTTGCAAGCTGTGTGACCCTGGGCCAGTGAATAGACCTCTCTGTTGTTCAGCTTCTTTACCAGAACTCACCATATGGGTTCAATGCGAGGTTTCAGAAGGAAGCTACAAGCAAAGTGCTAGGACCAGCATCTGCCAGAGTTATGGCTAAATAGAGGCCAAGTCTACATAGTACTGAGGTGGTTTGCTCCAAGCTTCCTCAGGTCCTGCCCAGTCCCTCCTCATCCCTCTAACTCTGGCCCACAGTGAGCAAGTTCAAGACAGAGCTGGAGCGAAAGTGCTGTGAGGCTGGGCTCCGGGAGAACCCAGTGGGGCTGTCGTGTGAGGAGAGGATCCAGCATGTCCGCTATGGGCCAGCTTGTGTGACTGCTTTCCTGAGCTGCTGCCATCTATCTGAGGCCCTGACTCGGGAGGCCCGGGAAGAGCAGCTGCTCCTGGGAACAAGTGAGGGGACCACGGCAGGAAGCATGGGATTGGGGGGTTGAAGGGTTGGGAAGGAAGCCATGAGACAGGTCAAGGGGTGATATGGGCCATAGGGAAATGAGGTGGGAGGAGCCTCCTGAGGAGGCTGCTGAGCCAGCCAAGGGAGAGGTGCAAAGGAGACACTGCCCCACACTTCCTCCCTGCAGCGGATGAAGAGGAGGATTTTGAAGACATCTTTCTGGAGGACATGCCTGTTCGGACCTTGTTCCCTGAAAGTTGGCTCTGGAAGAAATTTACTCTGCCAAAAAGCGAATCAGGGTAGGACCACCACCACCCATGCCAGCATCTGGTCCCGGGACCTTCCACGCATCAGTGCACATCCATCACAGACAATGCCCCCAGTAGTGGCACTGAGCTCTCAGCATAGTCCCGCGATAGGAACCTCCCTGAATGGGAATACAGATCTCAGTTCCCCCAAAATGATGACCCTCTCGTGAAGCTTCCTCTTATGGGGTGACCCACTGACCCCTCCCTAGTGATCATAACCCTGGATAGGCTCTGTCCAGGAAGCACCGCCTCACTGACATCCCTGCCCCGCCCTGCCACTTCCAGGAGCATCTCGCACTACAACATTCCTGCGACCATGCCAGATTCCATGACCACGTGGCAGTTTGTGGCCATCAGTCTCAAGGCTGGACGAGGTGACCCCACAAGCCCAACGCTGAGGGGACAGGAAAACCTCCAGCCCCACGACAGTGGGCTTCTGCTTAACTCCAACATGGTCTCCTGCTTCTAGGACTCTGTGTCTCAGACCCCTTTGAGCTGACAGTTAGGAAATTGTTTTTTGTGGATCTTAAGCTGCCCTTCTCCGTGGTCAGGAATGAGCAAGTCCAGATCCAAGCCGTGCTGTACAATTTCGGAAACCGCCCCGCCAAGGTGAAGCCTCCAGCCCTCCCCTTCCTGCCAAAACATCTGTCAGTGTGCTTTATAAAGGGGATGGAGTGTGTCATTATTCAAAAGTGCCAGCAAAGGGGTAGCCCTTTGGAAAAATTTCTAAGATATTTTCTTCTTTAAACCTCACAATAACCTCAGCAGATGGGTGCTATTATTGTTCTTTAGAGATGAGGAAACTAAGGCACAGAGAGGTTAACAGGTTTTCCTGAGATCACGCAGCACATAAGTGGCAGAGGAAATTTGAACCCAGGCAGTGTCTTTGTTATCAATCAGTATGCTATGCTATCACCTGCTGAGGATTCTCAGGGCCGGGGCAGGAGGGGACTGCAACTCTAGGGTCCTGGGCCACCCCATGCTTCAGGACACCCCACTTGCCCACCCTGCCCCAGGTCCGTGTGGAGTTCCCCTACAAGGAGCCACTGTGCAGCGCATCAAAGCCAGGAGCCCCATCCCGCCAGGTGGTGGTCGTGCCTCCCACCTCCTCCAAGATGGTGCCCTTTGTGCTTCTCCCTCTTGAGATAGGCAAAATGGACGTGGAGGTCAAGGTCGTGGGCTACGGGGTACAGGATCACGTGAAGAAGACACTACTGGTCCAGGTAATGGACGTCTTCCATACCTTGCTGCCAGTGCAGACAGCAGAGCTTACCCTGGGCCCCTGGCTGTGTGATCACAGGAGGGGCAGCTGGGCCCAGAATCAACAAACAGGCCTCCCAGATGGAAGTGAGTGAGAGAATGAATTTGAAAGTTTAATCACAGAGCTCCCACTTTGCAACTTTGGAGTCAGGCCTGGATTCAAATCTTGTCTCTGCTGTGTGACCTTGGGCAACTCACTTAACTTCTCTGAGCCTCCATTTCCTCATTTGCAAAGTGAGGATAATCATCATACCCACAAATTATCAGACAGCTGTGAAATTTGCACACAACTGTGTGTGACCCATCAATAATACTTTATTTTCTTAGCAAACACATGTTTAGCTCTTACAGCGCTTTAAAAATATTAACTCATGGAGCCCTCAGAACAACCTTAGGAGGTAGGAACTATTATTCTTTTTACAGGTGAGAAAAGTGAGGCACAGAGAGGTTAAATCATTTATCCAAGGCCACACAGATAAAAAGCAGGAGAGCTGAGATCTGAACCCAGATATATTAAAACTCCAGAGTCCGTGATCTTACTAGCTAAGCAATGCTTCCTCTTAAGTGTCATTGTAATTGTCATTATTACTATTGTTGTTTTGTTGTATTTAACTTGCTTCCTCATTGCATCTCACAGGCAGGGGGGCTGAAAGAACAACTATTCCGTAGCATCGTCCTGAACCCCCAAGGTTTGTGGGGTCTGAAGGGGGCATGTGGGATACCAGGGCAGGAAAAGGGGCTAAAATGAGGGAGTCCAGCCAGGCAGGCAGCCTGCGCTCCCCGCAGGCTCTGTGCCCTCTGACCTCCCCAGCCCCAGACCTGCTTATCACAGAAGGTTGTGCCTGCTCAGGTCAGACCCAGGTGGAGCTGTTGCAAAGACAGGACGTTTGGAACAAGGTGCCTGATACAGAGGCAGAAGTGTTTATCAGCGTCCAAGGTGCTTAGGGCAGAACTGGCTCTTGGGGGGACATGGACGGGGCAGTGGGAGATGGCTCCTCCAGGGCCTGCCTGGGCACAGCGGCAAGAGGGGCTGGGAGTGCCCATGTGTGATGATCAGGAGGCTATAGTGGCTTAGGCCATTCCCGAGGTGACTCTGCCCACCTGACAGGTGACATTCTTGGTGAGACAATCCTGGGCAGCCTGACACCCAGAGAAACATATGAGCTGCTGAGGCTCCCAACCGGCTGTCCTGAGCAGACACTGAGCAGCCTGACACCCGCGATCATCCTGACCCGCTATTTGGACTCCACGGGCCAGTGGGGCAAAGTGGGGGTGGAGCACAGGGACAAGGTGATGGAGAACATTGTCAGCGGTGAGTGCCAGTCACCCCGGGACCTCGAGGAGGGTGTCTGTGGCACCCCCAGGGTTAAAGGAGGCCCCCATGGGACCCTCCCAGACAATAAAACCCAAACTTTGACTCATGTCCCAGATCACAACCTGATAGTAACCCCCATGTGACCCCCCCATACAGTGATCCCCAAATAGTCATCTCAAGGTGACCCTTCGTTTAGTCCACTTGCAGTTGACAACATGATACCAAGTCCCCCAGGTGACCCCAAACAGTGACCCCCAGGTTACTCCTTCACCTGGACCCCCCTCCCAGGCTACAGCCTGACAAGAGACACCCTGATTTACCCCAAAGAAGCAATCCCTCAGGTTATGTTATATTCAGACGCTGTCCCAGGTTACACCGAGTCAGTGCCAAATCCTGGGTCACCCCCAGGGAGCCTCAAGCAGAAAACTCCAGAATAATCCCAGGTGGTGGCCTCCCTCTCGGTTACACCTGAACACTGACACCTCCCCTTACATCCAAACCTCCCCTTACATCCAAACCAGAGAGGAACACCTCTGGTTACACCCAGTCAGAGACCCTCAACTTAATTTGGACACTGGCCCCCTCTTCCTGGTTGCTCCCTGACACCAACTGTCCATCCAGGTGCTCTCAACAGTGATCCCCAGGTAATACCCAGACACTGTTACCCCCGATGTTACACCCAAATATTAAACCTCCAGGTAACCTTCAAATAACACTCAACTAGCAATGTTCAGAATATACCTGAGAGGCGTCCCCCCAGACTACACCCAGGAGTAACCTCCTCAAGTTTACACAGACACACTTACACCCGAGTTTGCAGCCAAAAAAGACCCCAAAGAAAACGCTTAGGTAGTGGCCCCTCAGGGTACCCACTTTCCTGGGTTTCACTTTCCTTGAGCTCTCTGAGTGGAAGTTCCCAGTCTTGCACTTCCCCAGATGGGGCGGTTTCCCATGTTCCTCCCCGATACAACTGTGCACTGGCTCCCACGGTCATACCTGGCTGTGACCTTCATTTACACCTAGGCCCCGCAGCTCCCCCTTTATACACCTGGACAAGTCCCCTCCTCCAAGTTGTGTGTACAGGGGACGCACTCCCAAGTCACACTCACACCCTGACCCCCCAGCTACCCCCCAACATCAATTTTCCTGCAAGATCTCCTCCACCTGTTTCCTCAGGATACACCCGGATGCTAACCCACCGGAGTGCAGATGGTACCTACCACATCCACAAGGGGAAGCCGGGAAGCACCTGGTAAGGACAAGGACACTGGCCTGGAGGAAGGCCAAGGGCCAGTCTGGGGCTTGATGGCCCCAGTAGCATCCATGCTGCAGGGTCTTGGGGTAGGCAGCCTGCAGGCCAGTGGCATTCCACGCAAACTAGGTGTCAGTCTGGAGCAGTGTGGCCCATGAGAGATGTCTGCAGAGTGTAGACACCCCTTTCTTAAAACGCCTTGGCTGCCATTCCCAGTAATCACCTACCGCGTTGCCCTCCCAACAGGCTCACGAGCTACGTGTTCCGAGTTTTCACTCTGGCTTACTCCACCATAACCATCAGAGTGATCGACCTGCGCTCTCTCTGTGCCATTGCCCAGTGGATCATCGCGGAGAGGCAGGCAGAGGACGGGCATTTCTTGGAGAAGGGGCCCGTGATCATGACGTCCATGCAGGTGCCCACAGCCCCCTTGATTGGGCTGTTCAAACAAAACCCAGGCCTCTGTACAGTGATAGGGGGATTTCAGGCCCCTGCCCTGTTCTCAGGTAGAATGAGAAAAGGAAAGAGCCGAGACCCAGTGCCTCGTATCACCTCCCTCTGCTCTGGGCCATGCTGCATTCTGTTACAGTGTGGAGGAGGCTGGGTACATCTGGAGCCCCATCTCTCCCTTACTCTCACTTCAAGCAGTCACGCTTCCTGTCCCTCCTCTCGTTGGGCCTGAGTCCTCCCCACCCCCCCAGCCAACATACCAGGCTCTAAAAGCAGCTTTCAAACAGCCTGGGAAGTCTCTCATGCTCAAACACCTTCCGTGACTCATAGTTCGCTACATCTTTATTATATACCTCTCTTCTGTATCTCCTCCCAAGCCTCACCCTTCTCTACTCCCTGCTCACGGTCCCCGCAACTCACCTCCGTGTCTCTGTTCATGCTGCTCTCTGCGTGGAATACCTACACCCCATCCCTTTTTTTTCTTCACCCAGCCCAATTATGTTTTCTCTTTAGATTTAGCTCAGACACCACCTCCTCCAGGAAGTCTCCCCTGAATACCAGCCCCGTGTCTGCCTCTATCATTTCATCTATCACATTATTCATTTATTCACTCAACAAACATTTACCCAACAACTGCTGTGTATCAGGCCTTGTGCTAGGCAGAGGAGAGACACAGCGGTAAACAAGAAATTTACAGCCCCTACTTTGTAGAACTCATAAGCTGGGGGTGGAGGGATGCAGAAGTTCACCAAATAATTAGAGATAGTGATTGTTTAAATCACAATTGGCCATGTTCCGTGGGAGGTAAATACCAGAAAAGAGTAATAGGGGTCATGCCTGGCCCTGCAGGTGTCAGAGGAAGCCTGCAAAAGGAAGTGACAATAAAGCAGCAACTTGAAGAGGAATAGGAGTTGGTGGGGTAAGAATGGGAAGAGAGCTCCAGGCAAAGGGAACAGCATATGCAAAGGGCCTGAGGCTCTATCATGTTCGAGGGGAAAGGAAAGAGACCAGTGTCACCAGAGCCCAAAGATGGAGGAGAGAGGGAGGAAAGATGTCAGGTCCTAAAGACTACAGAACCTTGGAGACCTCAGTGAGGACTTGAAATACTCTTTTCAGGGTTTGCTTTTTCTACACTGTGAATCCTTCCAGGGAGGGAAGCAAATCTAGCTCATCGTAGTTGGCAAATATTTGCTGAATAAAACTCTAGAGGAATGAATGAATGCAGCAAAGACAGATTGCACCCTCAAAGAAAGGGAGGACTTAAGGAATCAAGAGGACTGTGTGAGTGAGAGCCTGACACTGTACAGGAAGGTGATACAGAGAGGGGTTACAAACACAGGCTTCACAAGCTCATAGATCTGAGTTTCTTTCCACCAACAAACATTTATCAGGCACCTACAATGTGCCAGGCCATCCTTTAAGTGCTGAGGATCCCGGGCCAAAAAAACAGATGAAAACCCCTGTCCTTGTGGGGTGGGCATTTTAGTGAGGGGTAGACAAGCAATAAGCACAATGTAGACATAATTGATGCGGCATGTTAAGTGACATGGAGCAAGATGCAGGAAAAGGGGGGTCAAGTTGGTGAGGGTGTAATTTTGAAAGGCTTCATGAGGAGGTGATTTTTGTACAAAGACAGGAGGAGGTGAGGGAGCAAGTCATGTGACTGGCTAGAGAGAGTCTTCCAAGCATAGGGAACAGCATGTGCAAAGGCCCTAAGACTGGGCTGTGCCCACTACACTTGAGGAACAGTGAGGAGACTAGTATGGCTGGAACAGAGTGAGTAGGGGGAGGAGGTGAGGACAGGGAGGTGACAGAATAGATCATGCAGGACCTTGTGGGCTGCAGGAAGGACTTGAGCTTTTCCTCTGAGGTAGGAGCCATGGAGGGTTCTGAGCAGCAGAGGGACATAACCTGATTCAAGAGTTCACAGGCTTCACTGGCCACTGTCAAAAGAAGAGACTATGGGGGAGGTGTATTAGTTTCTAGGGCTGCTATAACAAAGTACCAGAAACTGGGTGTCTTAAAACAACAGAAATTTATTTATTCTCTCATAGTTCTGCAGGTCAGAAGTCCAAAATCAAGGTGTCAGCAAGGCCATATGCCTTCGGCTGGCTCTAGAGAAGAATCCTTCCTTGCCTCTTCTAGCTTGGTGGCTCCTGGAAATACTTGGTGCTACTTGGCGTGTAGCTGCATCACTCCAATCTCTGTCTCCAACTTCACATGCGCTTTTTCCTTCTGTGTGTCTTTGTATAGCCTTCTTATAAAAACACTAGGTATAAGGCCCACCTTTATTCAGTATGACCTCTTCTTAACTAATTACATCTGCAAAGACTCAATTTCCAAATTAAATAACATTCTAAGATTCTGGGTGGACACGAATTTTGGGGGGACACCATTCAACTCAGTACCATAGTTGAGGGTAGAAGCTGGGAGACTAAAGAGGAGTTTGAACCCTAAGTCAGTCATTTACTAACAAAGGGGAGACTTTGCCTCTCTGACCCTCAGTTTCCTCAGTTTCCCTCACTCCAGTAAAATGGAGCTGCTGCAAGAATGCTCTGAGATAGCATAGGGATCTTAACACAGCTCTCTCCATGGCCGTTAGCTCTTGTTAGTAAGGCAGACCCCACACAGGCAGATATCAGGATGGTGCCTCCTTTCTCTCCCTCTCTCTCTCCATCCTGCTTTTAGCATCATCCAGCCCAGAGCTGAGCACCTGGAAGCTTTTCAAAGTCAGGCAGGAGAGGTTAGGGAAAGTGTCTCCAAAATGCTAAGGGAATCATGGGTGTGGCTCTGTATCCACAGGGTGGCTATCGAGGCTCCGAGGCAAACATATCCCTCACAGCTCTTGTGCTGATCGCCCTGGATGAGGGGAAAGAGTTGTGCAGCCAGGAGATACCGGTAGGACCCAAAGAGGAGGGCAGGATCTGCAGGGTGCCGTACCCCCTGCACTCAGGGATCTCCCCCACCCTCATGTCCCTCTCAGTACATCCCTCTCTCCTAACTCCCAGACCCCTTTCCTCTGATCACCTCCCTCTAGCCTCCTCTCTCTGACTCTCTAGAATTTGATGGCCAGCATGGAGAGAGCTCGTGCCTTCCTGGAGAGACGCCTCCCTGACATTCAGACAACCTTTGCCATAGCCATTGCCTCCTATGCTCTGGCCCTCACCGACAGTCCCCGAGCCAATGACCGCCTGGACAGCTTTGCCAGCCATAGTGGGTGTGGGGCCATTTCTTAAGCAACTGTGTGTTAACCATAGTCATGGGGGTGGGGGAGGGAGATTGCATGATCTAAAATCCAGTAATATGTGACTCATCACTTGGCATTTTTGAGCACCTATGGGTGCCAACCCTTGAGCTCAGACCCCGAGAAGCCAAGATGAACAAGACTGATATGATCCCTGCCCTCAAAGTTCTCACCGTCCCTGGGAGAGGCAGGCAGAAGACAAACAAATTACTAGAGAATTACAAAGTGAGATAAATGCTGATATGAAACATACAAAGTGGGTGGGAGAGATGACAAGGGGAGAGGAGTACGGATTGGAGGGCCAGGACAGCTTCTGTGAAAAGGGGAACCCTCAGCTGGAATGAAAGGCCTACCTCTGTGAAAGGCCAAGGACATTCCAAGCTAAGGGAATGGCACGTGCCAACACCCTGAAGTGGGAAGGTTCTTGAAGTGGACAAGGATGGAAAGAAGGTCATTAAACGTGGGTAACTGGGAAAGGTCTGCCTCCCCTGGCCTGCCCTATCTCACCCCCAAGTGCCTTTACCATCCTCTCCATTCCCCAAGTCAAGGAGTGGAGTTAAGGCAACTTGCTTTCTGTGGGATTGGAGGGACCCCGAGGAGCTCCTTTGAAATGCAGTTTCTCCATCTCTAAATAGTTAGCCTGTCTCTTAGAGTGATTCCAAAAAAAAAACAATGTCCATATGCCTCCTCAAAGAGGTTCTCACATGAAGTAAGTGCTCGATAAAATAGCAGATGAGAAAAATTGGGCCAGATGACACAAGGAGAAGGCAAGTTAAGTTTAGGTGGGCCCAGATCTGGGTGACAAGGTGGGTATACATCTTCTAGACAAAAACTACTGGCTAGTAAACAGAGACAGGAAGTCCCAGTACACCATTGAGGCCACTGCGTATGCGCTGATGCAGAAGCTGAAGCTGGGTCGGTATAATGAGACTCACGCCATCTCCAAGTGGCTGCTGGAGAAGCGGGAGCTGGGAGGAGGCTTCAAGTCCACTCAGGTGACACGGGCCTCGGAAGGTGGGGGCTGTGGCGGGGGAGGGACGCCGAAGTGCTGCCTCGGACCGCCCACCGGAAAGAGCTGTCCGTGGTGCCGAGTCGCACCCTTGGGCTCCCGGGGCGCTGTCTGTGGTGCTGATCCAAAGTCCCCATCCCAACACCCAGGCCACGGTGGTGGCCATTGAGGCTCTCACCCGCTTCCGCGAAGCTGTCCCCTTTGAGAATGTCCAGGATCTCTGCGTCCAGATCAGTGCCCCCAAGAGAGCCTTGAACGTGGAGTGGCTCATTAATCACAACAACGCTTACCAGCAGCGGTCAGCAAAGGTAAGGTGTTGAAGGGCAGACGGGAAGTCCACACAGAGGTGACATTGGAGATAAGGCCAAGAATCGTGTGCCTGCCAATTTCCTTCCTCAGGATTATCTCACACTATTGGTTATACTGTCACTGTGTTGATTCATTTATTGCACAAACATTTCTTGAGCACCAACTGTATGCTAAGCATTCTCCTGGGGATACATTATGAACGATCTGTGGTCCCTGCTCACAGGACTTACAGTCTAGAAAGAAAATAAGACAATAAATATATTCTATTTTAATCTTTTTTAACACAGAGCAAAGAAATATGTGTAAAGAGGAAAATAACCTGGTGTGAAGAGTAAGGTAATCTTCACAACCTTACTCCATGGAGGAGGTGATATTTACCTTCAATCATTTGATGCATCTTTATTGAACACTTACTGTGTGTTGGGCACTGTTCTAAGTGCTAGGAATATGGCCATGAACAAGACAGAAAAAAATCCTTGTCCCTGTAGAATTTTATGTTTTGGTGGGAAGACAGACAATAAAGAAGTGTGAATGAGTAGAATATGTAGTGTGTCAAATGGTGACAAGTGCTGTGGGGGAAATTTAGCAGGAATGGGGGTGGGGACATCAAGGAGTTGCAATTTTAGATAGGATGGGCAGGGAAGGTCTCACCAAGAAGATGACATTTGAGCAAAGATGTTAAGGAAAGAAAGGAGTAAGCCTTGTGGATATCCAGGCAGAGAAAACAGCAGGTGCAAATGCCTTGAGGCAGAAGTGTTCCAAGAACAGCAATGAAGTTTAAGCAGAGGTGATATGGTTGGATGTGAATTTGTAATGTTTTACTCTGGCTCACGAGGGAAGAATATATGAGGGGAACAAGAGTAGACATAGAGATGCCTGGGATAAGGGTCTTGTGGGGGCTCCACACATGGGGAACTTTGTAGACACTGCAAAGTGGACAGATCAGAGACATATATATTAGGGCACAGCCTGAGTCAGCAGTTGTAATTGATTTGTAGTAGACACCACAAGCGTTCTATCAAGAAGGAAGAGTAAAACCATCTTTCCTCCCCACCCTCACTGCATTTGAGCCATGTTTTGCTGCTTTCTCCACCTCAAATCCACCTTCCCTTTCCTTTCAGTTTTATGCTGAAGATGACCTAGAGATCACAGCCAGCGGCCATGGGAGAGGCACCATCTCGGTAGGTCGGGTGTCCCATCCTTGTGTTCCACAGCTGGAGCCCAGGGTCCCCCTAGTTGGTGGGAATAGAGGCAAGTCTAGACTCCGACAAGATGGAAATCAGCAAAAAAAATTAGCTACCATTTACAGCACTACTGTTTGCTACAAACCAAATTAAGGATACTTCAACCCTCACCCCTGGGAAGCTGGTAAAAATATGGAGTCCAAGCAACAAGTGGAGAAATAAAGGATCAGAAAGCTTTTCACTTGCTGAGTTAAAAGTCAGAGAAAGTAGAGGCCAGAGGTCATTGAGCCTTTCTGCCCCTCCCATGCTGAGTTCCTGAGAGGGTGTCTCCTTCCTTGGCTCCCAAGGCAAGATTCTCCCTCCAGGGTGCCTCCCAATACCCAGGGGGCTAATTTCACCCTTCCCCCAATATCTGAGCTGTTGAATCCAATACATCTTCAGGCCCCCTGCCTCGTGGCTCAGGAGGATAGCCCTTTGTTCACCAAATTTAAGGCAGCTTGCTCTCATGTTTCTGGCAATGGAGTCATGGTTGAATTTCTGTTGTTGTGTGACCTTGGGCATGTTACACTTCTTGAGACTTGGTTAAATTTAAATTCATTAAAATGAAGTAAAATTTAAAATTCAGTTCCTCAGTCACACTAGTCACATTTCAAGTGCCTGACAGCCACATGTGGCTAGTGGCTACAACATGGACAGGGCAGGTAGAGATCACTGCCATTATTGCAGAAGGTTTTATTACAGTGTTTCCCTGAAAATAAGACCTAACTGGAAAATAAGCCCTAGCATAATTTTTCAGGATGCTTGTAATATAAGCCCTACCCCAAAGATAGGCCCCAATTAAGACCGTCAGCCAGACATGACTGTTGGACTAAATGTAGGTTTTTGCACATGAATAAATGAATAATTGTAGATTGTTGGAGCAAAAATTAATATAAGACCCGGTCTTATTTTCAGGGAAACATGGTACAAGGGGCTGGTCTAGACTCCATAGGGTTTTCTGGCTACTGCACTAAGGGATTGAGGGAGGCAAAATTTGCTGTGAATTTCCCACAGGGGCAGAGACCTGGGCAGGTAAGGACTGGACAGAGGAGAAAAGGGAGTGGGTGCAGATGGGCTCTGACACCTTATCTGCCCTGGTAGATCCTGACCATGTACCACAGGTCCCTAGAGTCCTGGGAGGACACCTGCAACATGTATCACCTCAATGCTACTCTCCACCGTGCCCTGGAAGGTAGGCCTGGATCCAGCGATGCCCAACCCTTCTTTTTTATTATTTTACTTTAGCTATGATTCAGTAAGCACATTTGTTGTTTCAATTAGCCATTCAACAAATATTTATTGAGCATATACTATGTACCATGCACTGCTTCCTGGTTTTCCCTTTTGTTTAGAGGCATAAACAAGAAAAATATCCCCTCTTCTCTCTCCTGGAGCCCACATTTTATTAGGGAGAGACAAGCAATAATACAATAATAACAATATACAGAGGGTGCCAAAAAATATATACACATTTTAAGAAAGGGAAAAAAACATTAAAATTGTAATAATATATACTGATAACAAAAGATAAATACAAGTCACGTTTGACTTCCGCAATTACAAGAGGTGCTCAAAATGGTTACCATCAGCATCCAGGCACTTCTGATTACAGTAAACTACTGCTTGAGCAACACTGACTAGAGTATCCACTTGTATACATTTTTTTGGCACCCCCGGTATTATACCCCCCACTATTATTTATTTGCAACATAAATGACTTTACATTATAAAAAATAAATATATAGCATAATAGTAGGTGATGATAAGTACCCTAAAAAAATGAAGTAGGAAAAAAACGATACAGACTTGGAGGAGATCCAGGGGGAGCTCTCGGAGGAGGTGGCATTTGAGCTGAGTCATGAAAGAAGTGAGAGAGTGATCTATTAAGGCTTTGAGGGAAAAGCATTCCAGGCAGGCAAAATAGCAGGTGCAAAGTCTCTGAGGCAAGAATGAGTTCACCTGGTTTGAGAAACAGCGAAGAGGTCAGTGAGGCTACAGAGAAGGAAGGGGTAGAGTTTTAGGAGAAAGAGTTGGAGAGGTAATGGAGACAGAGGGTGCAGAGACTTGGAGGCTACAGTGAGGACTTCAGTTTTGCTCTGAGTGAAGTAGGAGCCACACACAGTTCTGAAGAGAGGAAGGATGTGACTTGGCACAGCTTTGCACAGGCTCCCTCTGGTGGCCGTGGGGCAAACATACTGCAGAGGGCAAGGGCAGGAGCTGGGAGACCAAGGAGGAGGCGACTGCACTGGTCCAGCCGGAGATGATGAGGGCTGGACTAGGGTAGGGGCTATGGACATGGTCAGAAATGGTGGGACTCTAGAGTTCACAGTCTGGGGGACCAAGAAAAAGGAGAGAGGACACTGCCATTGGGAGCGCACTGTGGAGGTAGGGAAAGCAAGCCTCACCAGCCCCAGGACTTTTAGGGGCTAAGAGACCAAGGGTTTCGTTTGGGCCCCATTTCTTAATATGTAATAATAATAACTGACAATTATAAAACACTGGTTAGGTGCTGTATTAAGTGTTTTATTCGTGTTAGGTCACTTAATCCTTACAACAACCATGCTGGGTTGGGAATATTATGATCCCTATTTACAGGTTACAAAACCAAAGCAGAGAGGTTAAGCAACTTGCCCAGTCACACAACAGTAAGGATTTGCACCCAGGATGCTAGCTCCAGAGGTTATATTACCCAGCCTCTAAACTCCTGTCTTCTCTTTACAGAAAATAAAAAGGGGGAAGAGACCTTCCAGCTCCGGATGGAAACAAGGTCAGGGCACCAGGATCTTGGGCTAGGCAGGAGGAAGGCCTCACTTCCTGGTATCCAGACTCCTTAGCAGCTCTCCCTGCCTTTTCATGCCTGCCCCCTCATTCTACCTCCCTTCCCTTGTCTTCCCTTGTCTGTCTCTTATTCTGCCCCCTACCCTGCCCTCTCATGCTTGTCTACCATCCTGCCCCCATTCTGCTATGTCCTGGGATGGTGGGCTCCACCATGATGAACACACCCCAGCTGCCCAACTGGCTCCAAGTTCCTCAGCTGTCCCATCCTCATCGCCTCCAGACACCCCAGCCCCCAACCCAGTCCTGCTCTGTCTCCCAAATGCCATCTCCCAGGTCTGCTCCCAGATCTCTCCAGATCTGCCTACTTGTTGTCAGGCTCTGTTCTAGGACCTGAGGCACCCCTCCCTGCCTGGTGAGCTCACACCTTATCAGGGGAGACAGACAATAACCAAATAATCACCCAGAATCAATGTAAAGTGACAACTGTGATTAAATGTGGGAAAGAGGCGTTCCATACAGCTACAGGACAGCAAATTAGAGAATGATCTGGCGTGTGGACCAGAAAAGGCTTACCAGAGGGAGTGATGCATCAGCTGAGATTGCAAAGATGAAAGGATGTTTCAGGGCAAAGAGGGAGGAGTGAGGATTCCAGGCTGAGAGAACAGCATGTGCAAAGATCCAGTGGCAGGAGAGAGAAACTGACACTTGAGAGCAATCAAATGGAGGCTGGGGTGGGAGAAGGTGAAGTGGGAGGGTGAGCGGCATTTGGTAAAAGTTGTTAAGCAAGGAGGTGACATATGAGATTCCAGTTTGTTAAAGCTGTATGCTGTTGGGGGCAGAAGAGTGTTGGGGAGACCCAGGAGGAGGGTACTGCACTCTTCCAGGCAAGAAATGATGGCAGTGGGAGCATGGGGGTGGGGAAGAAGCAAGAGGGAGAGGGACTGGAGCTGTGAAATCCCCAGGTTCCAGGGTCATCGAGAGGCTACCATGACCATCATAGAGGTTTCCCTGCTCACTGGCTTCTACCCCAACCAAGATGACCTCAAACAGGTAATGCAGGTCCCACCTGCCCACTGCTGAGCAGGGCAAAGTGCCCTTGCAACATCTCATACTCCCAGTGTGGGCACAGGGCAGCATCTACCCTTTGTTAGTGTCCCATGGTCACCTCTGGTTGTCTTCCTGCCTGACCTTAGCCAAATCCTTGCCCTGATAGTGCCTCAGTTTCCCCAACACTAAAGCTGATTGGACAGAGGCTGGGAGTTCTAAGAGTCAATTCACACTGACCGGAGCTCCTAGGGCTGTGAGCCTTTGGGGTCTCTGCTGACCTGCCATCCTCACCCTGTGCCCCAGCTCACCAGCGACGTGGAGATGTATGCTTTCCAGTATGAGACCAAGACGAGCTCCAGTGACAGCACTGTTGTCCTGTACCTGGAGAAGGTGAGGAAGGTCAGATGTCCACCAGAGGCCTGTGGGCAGCCCCCGGGGCATAGAACCCAAGGTCAGCAAGGGTCTCTTGGGTGGTGGTGTCAGAGAGCCATGCCATCTGAGGTCAGAGCCTCAGTAGTCAAGGTCACATGGCCAGTGGTTATGACCAAGGCCCTGTGGTAAGTGCCCCGTGGTCAGTGGCCTTGGCCAGCTCAGACGGAACTCCCTCCCCCAGCTTTCCCACAAGGAGGACACGGTGCTGGGCTTCCGGGTCCACAGGATGCTGCAGGCGGAGTTCCTGCAGGCCGCCCAGGTCACAGTCTATGACTACTATGAGCCTTGTGAGCAGGAGGGCCTGGGGGTGTAAGGGTATCCCTTGAGGGGAAGAGGCCTGCTAAGGACTGGGCCAGGTGAGAGGGATGACAGGCAGGTCCAGGAAGGGGAAATAGAGCGGGGCTGAGAGGGCCATGGGCATAGGGGGGGGCGGGGCGCAAGAAGCATGCTGGGAGGAACCTAAAGGGGTGTGGTGACAGGGGGTGGTCAAAGTGGTGGAGAGGTCTGGAAGAGGCTGGGGCCTTCCTGGGAGGTCAAAGTGGGGGGAAGCCTGGAACGGGGGTGGGGCAGAGCCGGATAAAGGTGTGGCCTGCTGGGAATGGGGTGGGCAAGAAAGGGGCGGAGTCTTCAAAGGGGAGGGCCAGGTTGGGCGGGGCCTGTGGGGCGTGGCCTGCGGGGGGGCGGAAAGCTCTGGAAGCAGAACCAGGCAGGCACCCAGCCCCCAGGAACGCTGGCCCTAGCCAAACCGAGGCATGTGCCCCCTCTCGCAGCCCGGAGGTGCAGGTCCTTCTACAACCTGCCCACAGATCGATCGGACCTGCGGAAAATCTGCCACAAAGACATCTGCAGATGCGCCGAGGGTGAGGTCGTGGGGACACGAGGGCCTGGGCTGCCAGGCTGGGGGTCCAGGAGCCCTTTGTCACCTTCTGAGTGCCATCTGGGCTGAGTTTAGGCAGAGAGAGAGAGAGACAGTGAGATAGGAAGACAGAGAAAAGGAGACCCAGAGATAGGGATTGACACACATACACTCAGGCACAGTCGAAGTTGGAGAAAGGCCAGACACAGAGACCTGGGACTAGATGGGGGTCGGACGGGGAGGAAGCCCCCTCCCCAGTGCAGCCAGAGCAGCTGCCACCCCACCCTCCAGAACTGTGCCCTACCCCGAGGAAGGACAGCAGCCTGCTGAAGCTGGACGAGCTCCAGGCAGCGGCCTGTGAGGTGGGCGTGGACTTTGGTAAGTGGCAGGCGTGGCAGGGGGCAGGAGGAGGCCCACCATTGGTCAGATGCCAAAAGGCCCTCCTATCCGCCTCTCGCCAGTGTACAAGGCCAGGCTGGAGGCTGTGGAGGCCTCTGCCTCCAACCCCTATGTCTACTACAACATGCGGCTCCAATCCATCATCAAGACTGGTATGTCCCAGGTGGCAGAGAAGGTGTGAGGCCTACGGGATGGGGATGGAGCCAGCGTGGGGAAGGCCTGTGCATGCCCACACACTGGGTCTCCTCTCCTCCAGGCACAGACTCTGTCACGCCGTTCACCATGAAGAAATTTGTCTCCCATGCCACCTGCCACGACTCCCTGGAGCTGCAAGAACAGGAGACATACCTCATCATGGGCCAGGCATCAGACCTGTGGAGAGTCAAATCTGAGTGCGTGGAGGCCTCCTGCTGCCCCGGGGATGCTGGCCTGGGCCCCTTTGCCCAGTCCTTGGTGTCAGAATGTCTACTGCACTTGAATGGAGGTGCAGGCTTTGCACTGCACAACTCCAGGGAACACCATTCACTGTAGATGTAGATTTGGAGACACTGTAGATGTAGATTTGGTTTTCCAGCAGTGGGCAGTAGAGTCAGAAGAAGGGAGCCTTTTTTTTTTTTTAAGATTTTATTGGGGAATTGAGGGAAGGGGAACAGACAAGTTGCTGTCCTTTTGTTCTTCAGTCTAGTTGTGGAGGGCGTCTTCGCTGGCCCATGTTGGTATTATCATTGCGCTCTTCCCGGGTGAGGCAGATCGGTTGCTGGCCACTGGACGGCCGCTCACGGCGGCTCTTGGCAGCTCACGCCCGCTGCCGGCCACTCACGCTGGCTGCCAGTCGCTCACGGTAGCTTATGGCAGCCCACTGCAGCCTCACTGCAGCCTACACCGTTGCCGATGACTCACGGCAGCCCAGCTCCAGGTCGAGCTGTTGTTCACCATCTTAGCTGTAGAGGGCGCAACATCACTGGCCCTAATGTGGGATCCGAACCGGGGCCCTGCTGCTCAGAGCTGGAGTTCCAAGCCAGCTCTTAACCAACGCGCCTCTTGGCCGGCAGGAAGGGGACCTTTTTAATTTCCAGATGAATGGGCTAGAGGCTGGGGGGACCCAAGATGGCCCAGTGAAGAGGACATAGGCTGAGGCCCTGGAAGGCTGCCAAGAAGGGCAGAGGGACAAGACAGGGAGATCTCCACGCCTCTGGGGCACCAGGCTCTCCTCACCCTCCTTGCCTTCTCTGTCCCACAGTTACATCTATGTCCTGGGCAAGGAGACGTTCCTCATGCATTGGCCGGCCGATGGGGATGTGGGAAAGAAGGAATTGCTGGGCCAGCTGGAGGGATTTTCGGAATACATGGGCACCCATGGCTGCGAGTCCTGAGACTCTGAGGCCTCTGCTGCTCTCAGGGTTCTCTCCAAGCAGGCCCGGGCCACTGGGCTTAACCCCAAATAAAGAACATGGGATGTCATAGCCAAGCTTTGGACATTTGTTCCTGTCCCAGCGTTCAGTGGGGCCTCTGCACCACCTGCCCTGGCATTGCCGGCACCTGTCTCCTCCTCGCTCCTACTCCATTCCAATCACACTGGCTTCTTTTGTGTCCTTTGTGGGAGTCAACACGACTCCCACCTCAGGGCCTTTGCACTCACTGCGCTGTCTACCAGGTACACCTTTCCTCCAGATATCGACATGGCTTGAACCCTGGCCTTATTTGGAGAAGGTGTTTAAATGCCACCTCCTCAAAGACATTTGCTTTAGTAACATATCTAAAATAGACCCTCTCCCATCACTCTGTCTCCCTTTACTCTGCTTTATTCCCTCAATAACACATAAATATATTGTATATGGCATCTATTGGTTTATTGTTAAGTGAGAATTTCCCCTACCCCACAATGTTAGCTCCTGCAGACCAGCACCATATCTGCCTTGCTCACTGCAGTATTCCCAGTTCCTACAGCAAGGGCTGGTATACAGTAGGTACTAAAGAAATGATTTGAATGAATGAATGAATGAACTGATAAATGAATTGGCGCCCACACTGCACCTGGTCCTGATGGAAGCTTTAGTAGGGAACCCCAGGCAACTGGGGAGCGAAGACAAGGGGCAGGGGAGGATGAATGAGTTTCAACAATGTGGGCTGGGGTGGGAGTGGGGGACCTGCCAAGCCAAGGCAGCAACCCATGTGGGTCCAGAGACACCCCCCCCCAGGAATGCTGGGGACTGCACAGCATTCAGGATGGCCTGAACGCAGGGTGTGAAGGAGGGACTGAAGATAGGAGGGAGGAAGAGAAAGATGGGGCTGAGGAGGCTATCTGGTGGGCTGACTTCATAAAGGGCTTTGAATACCAGGCTAAAGGGCTTGGTCATTATCAAGGGCAGTGGGGAGCCATGGAAGGTGTTTGAGCAGAAAAGAAATTGACCAGCCCTGAGGTAGAAGGTCCAGCTGGCTGATGGGTGGAAACTGAGCTGATGGCAAAAACCTGAGGAGGAGGCTGGAGCTGTAGTGCTGCAGTAGCATGGCAGCAGTTACCTGAGTTCAAATTCTGCCTCCGCCTCTTCCTGGCTGTATAACTTTAGCCTGGTTACTCATCTCTCTGTGTTTTGGTTTCCACTTTTCTCACATTACTTTGCTCAGAGAGTTGATGTGAGTGCCCAGCACATAGTAAGTGTTCAATAAACATTCACTAGCCTTACTATCAATAAGCCAGACAAAAGGCCATGAGGAGAGAATAGAGTTGCTAGAATGCACACAATAGTCAGAGAAGAAAATCAGGTCACAGCAACCCCTGCTCAAAACCCTCCCAGGCTCCCATCGCTCTGACATTGCAGCCCTCAAGGCCCTGCACTGTAGCCCCATCACCTCTCTGGTCCCATGTCCCCCCACTCTCCACTCCAGCCACACTGGCCTCCTCCATGGTCCCCAGAAACTCCAAGCTCTTTCTTGCCTCTGGGCCTTTGCACAAGCTGCTCTCTGCCCAGAAGGCTTTCCCCATGACTGTTTTCTCCTCATCTTTCAAATCTCTGCTCAGAAAGGCCTTCTCCAGCCACCCTGGCTAGATGAAATTGGACCCTACCCCTGAAGTTATCTCTCCCTGCAACCTGCTTGTTTCCTCCAGAGTAAATGTCACAGTGCATAATGATATGCTAGATTCTGTACCTACACCTTTGCTGTCTATCTCCGCTACTGGGCTGGGAGCTTTGGGAGAGCAGAGAGGCTGTCTGTCTTAATCACAGATATAGCTGCAGCTCAGGGCCTGGCACATAGTAGGTGCTAATTTTGCTGAATGAATGACTGAATAAGTGAAAGAGAAAGACGAAGGGAGGGCAGGTCAAAGGAGAGAGAGAGATAAAAAGAAAGAGGGATGGAGGGAAGGAGGAAAGAAGGAAAAAAAGAAGGAGGGAGGGAGGGAGGAAGAGGAATGGGGGAGGGAGTGAGGGAGTAACGGAGGGAGGCTCATGACCTGTATTTGTACAGCCCTCAAGCTAAGAATGTTTTTTATATTTTTATAAAGCGTTAAAAAAAAGAATAATGTTCAATAAAGACTGTAAATGACCTGAAAAGCCTAAAACATTTATTACCTGTTCCTTTATGGAAAAAAAACAAAACATGCCTACCTCTGAGTTAGTGCATTAGTTATCTATTGCTATAGAACAAATTGCCCTAAAACTTAGAGGCTTAAGGCAATAAATATTTATTAGTTATCACGTTTCTGTGGGTTAAGAATCCACAAGGAGCAACTTAGCTGCGTAGTTTGGGCTCAGGGGTCTCTCGTGAGGTGACAATCAAGAGGTCAGATGGGGCTGCTGTCATCTGAAGACTTGACTGGGACTAAAGAGGCCACCTCCACGGTAGCTCTCTCACATGGCTGGCAAGTTGTTGGTGGTTGTTAGCAGGAGAACTCAGCTCCTTGCCATGTGGACCTCTCCACAGTGCTGCTTGAGTGTCCTCACAATATGGCAGCTGGCTTTCACCAGAGCGAGTGATCCAAGAGGAAGAACTAGGAGACCAGTATGTCTTTTACAACCTAGTTTCAGAAATCACACATCATCTCTGCAAAACTCTATTGGTCACACAAGCCAGCACTATATTTAGTGTGAGCAAGGACTACACGGGCATGACTACCAGGAGACAAGGTTCACTGGGGCAATCTTGGAGGCTGCCAACCACAGATAGTAAGTGACAGAGTTGGAATCTGAACCTAAACAATCTGGCTCTAAAGTCTATGCACTCACCACCATATACAGGCAAAGGGTGGGTTCACTTTTTAAATAGACTATTTTTATATTAGTTTTAGATTTACAGAAAATTTGAAGAGATAGTACAGAGAGTTCTCATATACATCATATACTCTTGCAAATTTCCCCCTATCATTAACATATTACTTTTAGTATAATACATTTGTTATAATTAGTAAACCAATATTGATACATTATTATTATTACCTGATTAACTCCTTTAGCTTTTTCTTGTCTGGAAAGCTCCTTATTTCCCCTTCAATTTTAAACAATAGCCTTTCTGGGTAGAGTAGACTTGATAGTAGGTCCTCGCTTTTCATCACTTAGAATATTTTGTGACAATCCCTCTGGCCTGCAAAGATTCTGTTGAGAAATCAGCTGACAATTTTATGGGAGCTCCCTTGTAAGAAACTAGTTGCCTTTCTCTTGCTGCTTTTAGGATTCTCTCTTTCTATTTAACCTTTGCAATTTTAATTATGATGCATCTTGGTGTGGGCATATTTGGGACTCCGTGTTTCCTGAGCTTGTATGTCTATTTTCTTCACCATGTTATGAGAGTTATCAGTATTTATTTCTTCAAATAGGTTCTCAACCTCTTGCTTTCTCTCTTCTCCTTCTGGTACCTCTATAATGCGTATATTGTAATGCTTCATGTTGTCCCAGAGGTCTCTTAAACTATCCTCATTTTCTTCTTACTATTATTCTTTGTGCTTTTTTGCTATTCTGATTTGGTGTTTTCTGCTACCTTGTCTTCCAAATCACTGATTTGATCCTTTTCATCTAGTCTGCTGTGATGCCTAATAGTGCATTCTTCATTTCAGTTATTGTATTCTTCATTTCTTTTTTTTGAAGATTTTATTGGGGAATTGGGGGAGGGGAGCAGTGTTGGAGAATTGGAGAAGGGGACCAGCCAAGCTGCTCTTCAATCTTCGTTGTGGAGGCGCCAGTCGCCATCTGGCTTCCCATTGGCAGCTCATGGCCTCTAAGCTCAAGATGCTGTGTTCAATCTTAGTTGCAAGTGTGTGTCACCATCATCCCATGTGGGAGTCAAACTAGCAGGCTTGTTGTTAATAGCACACGCTCTATCCACTGAGCCATCCGGGCGGCAGCTCAGCTCAAGGTGCTGAGTTCAGTCTTAGTTGCGGGTGGGCGTAGGCCACCACTGAACAGGCAATCTTTGCTGTTACACCAGCCGAGCCGTCCTGCCACCTGTTGGCAGCTCAGTGACAGGTCAGCCCGGACACAGTGTCACTGGCCCATGTGGAAATCAAACTGGTGGCCCTGTTGCTCAGAGCTCGCGCTCTTAAGCCAACTCTTAACTGACCCACTCGGCCAGCCCCTGTATTCTTCATTTCTGAATGGACTGGTTCTTTTTATGGTTTCTATGTCCTTTTTCATGCTTACTATCTTTTTGTTGAAGTTCTCACTACGTTCCTTGAGCATTCCTATAACCATTGTTTTGAACTCTCTGTCTGGTAAGTTGCTTGCCTCCATTTCCTTTCATTCTTTTTCTGGAGTTTTCTCCTGTTCTTTCATTTGGGACATATTTCTTTGTTTCCTTATTTTGGCTGCCTCTCTGAGTTTGTCTCTATGTATTAGGTAGATCTGTTATGTCTACCAGTCTTGGCTATGTGGCCTTATGTTGTAGGTGCCCTGTAGGGCCCAGTAATGCAGTCTCCCTTGTGACATGAGCCTGGTGCTCCAGGAATGTCCCTTGTGGGGGTTGTGCATGCTCTCCTGTTATAGTTGAGCCTTGAATGCTATTGGCACATCAATGGGTGGGATTGACCCTCAGGCTGACTGACTGTGGGGTTTGGCCACATCCATAGCTTACAGGCTGCTGTGCAGGGGGCTTACCCCCTACAGCAGTGTTGGCCCCAGTGGATTCTGGTGCCTAGTGAGACTGCCCTTTGGGTGTGCTGCTTGTGGGGTTAACTGGGCGGTGCTCTTCTGTGATTTGAAGCCAACTTCCATGTATGTTGGTTCTGGGGCCTCTTGGGAGGGGCTCTGGTATAGACCCAGGTCAGCCACTACCTGTGACCGGCTGGTGACTACCTGGTAGGGGCTACAAATGATCCGTGGTTGGTCATTCCCTGTGCTGGGCCTGGAGGCACATAGAAGAGGCCACACTGCAAGCTGGGCCTGGGGTAGCTCTGCAAAAAGCCCAGGACACCCCAAACTACCTGCCAGCTCCTGTAAGGTCAGCCGCTGATAGAGCCTCTTCTGGTATGCAAGTT